ATTTTACAGCACAAAAAAAAAATCCCAGATGATGATGATCGTGTTAAGAGCAGACTGAAGTGAGGTGCATTATGGCGTTACTGGCTCGATACCTGCCTCTCCACCTGTCTAAAGGTTACACAAATGTCACCCAACAACTAGAGTAGCTGGGTTAAGCAGCCAAGACTCACATGGAGAAATCGCCCGCTTATAACATACCGTTGAATATATTAAAAATTACATCAATAATACACAGAGCTAATATAACGGGTGACTACAAATGATCTTCCCTTTTGAAACATTTATGAAGAAGAAAAAATAACAAGCTACTTTTTCCATTACCAGCAACTTTGGAAAAATTGAAGGGCACGATACATGAGGTTGTTAAAAAGAGTTCAGTGTGATGTTACAAAATGTATGGAGGGAAACAGAATACAGTACCGCTCTTATGTTCAAAGAACCACAAAAGACGCTCACGTTAAACTTCTATGGGTTGAAAATTAAAGGTTTTGAGTTATTTTATATTAGGAAATTTTGCTTTTAGCTGTAGGTTTGCTTGGTTTTCATAAGTTACGTTTAAAATGAAGATCATTTGTAATCAGCTGGTGTAACACAGTAATTGACAAGGTAGCCACGAAACGTGTCCTACGATATAACGCGAGGTGACAATCAAGTAATAAACGATAAAAAAATTCAGCAAAAAGACTTATATTGAAGACAAAGTAATTTTGTCAACAGGGAATATAAAAATCGTTCACATAAAAGTGCACAGTAATGTTACACAGTAAACTTTAAATAATATAAGATGTGAAAAAGTGGTGTCACTGCCAGTACCGTGATGTTCTTTATCATTATTTTTTTTTATCCTCTTCACCACTGATCGGCTCGTTAGCCGCTTGGGCGAACGGTCACGTCTCTGTTACGCACTGTTGGCAAATACTGGGCATGCACCGGTTCCTGAATGTACAGTCGTGAACAGAAGTGCTGTCGCCTCTTATGCTGTTCCGCGAACCAAGAGATTCAGACTCATGAACCCGAAGCAGTAGACACTGGTGAATTATTCTGCCCATAAATGCTTCGGATTCATGAGTCTGAATCTCAGGGTTCGTGGAGCAGCAGAAGGGGCGACAGGACTTCTGTTCACGACTGTACCTGAACCTGCTCCAGCGTTGGTAAAGTCTGGTCTTGAAAGAGCTCACACTCGGTGCCGTCACAACACTCTCTGGTAGATTGTTCCAAGAGTTCCTCAACCGTCACTCCGAAAAAGTTTGCCCTCACAGTTTTCTGGACTTGCGGTTTGTGGGGCGAGCGTCCGCCAGCTCCAAGTAAGGACACTTGACTGAGTAGTGACCCTTGAGATGTTTATACACCAAATTAGATCGCCCCTTGCCCGTCTGTAGTTCAGGCAAGTTCAGGCGCTCCAATCTCTCAGGGTAGCTGAGGTGCCGAAGTGCAGGCACCAGTCTGGTGGCCCTCCTTTGAATATTTTCAACCAACTGACAGTCCCTAGCATATCTCGGGGACCAGACGGGGTGACAGTAGTCCAGATGGGGAAGCACTTCACTCTTGAAGATCGTTACGAGGGACGGACCGTCTAGATATCTGAACGACCTTCTTATAAGACCCAATAATATATTTACCTTCTTCTCGCAATGGCCCAAGAACTTCAGCTCATTGACAACATACACACCGAGGTCCTTCTCACATTCAGTCTCAAATAGTGCAGTTTCTTCATCCCGGTGGGACATATGATACGCCTCCTTACCATTGGTGCGCCCCAGGTGCATCTTCTTACACTTCGTGGCATTGAATCTCAGCAGCCATTTCTTCGACCAATCTTGGAGCCCACAGAGATCCTTCTGCAGCTATTCACAGTTCGCTTGGTTCTTGATTTCCCGAAATAACTTGGCGTCATCTGCAAACATTTGTATGGAGGAGTGTACACCGTCAGGCAAGTCATTTATGAAACAAACAAACAAACAGCGGGCCCAGTACACTGCCCTGAGGAACCCCGCTTGTGAGAGGTCATGTAGAAAGTCTTCTATCCATGCTAGGACATTTCCCCGAATTCCGTACCCTTCCAGTTTGATTTTCAGCCTTTCGTTGGGTACACTGTCGAAAGCCTTAGCAAAATCTAGGTACTGTATATATTGTCGATATTACCACCCCGTTCCAGAATATGGGTCCAAACATCCAATACCTTGAGCAATTGTGTTTAGGAGGAGCGCCCCGGCATAAAACCGTGTTGGCAATCCTTTACAAGGTTGTTTCGTAGTCGATATTCCATCGCGGCATCTCAGATAATATTCTCAAGTACTTTACATATTATGCTGGTCAGGCCTGTTAAAAACGCTACCCAAAATTGTGTTGGGTTAACAGTCAGCGATATTGTTATTCATATTAAATGGTGTAAAATTGGTGTAAAGCTGTAGCTATCAATTAAGTAGGCAAATCATTATATTTTTCTATAAAATAATCAATGTGTTGCTTTGAAAAATTATTCCTAAATATGTAGAGTTGGATGTCAATAACCTAGTGACTATATATAATTTTGTATTGAATAATCTGGAGTTATTGCAAAATAGAATGAAAGGCGCAATGAGCTCAATGTGGTTAATTAATTTTTACTTTTAATGTTATCTTCTTCGCCACTGATTAGTTGCAGACACAGCGGACCGCTTGGTGGCACCAGATAAGGAGTTGCACGCATTTGCTCATTAGTGCTCCATTCTCCTCAAGTAACAATCCTTGGTTATACTTTACACTTCTGTAATTATATTTTTAATATTAGAGTAAAGGCTATATATGATTTCCTAAAACAAATATAAATGTCAAGCATAATAACGAAAATTCGATAAATCACCTTGTAAACAATGTACTTAAATTAACGCGTCTTCACATATAACGATAATATCAATTGACATTACACAAGATATTAATGGAAATAGTCTCTTAGTAGAGGTAGTCTTCTAACCTGTTGTGTACGAACTTCCCTCTGAGCTGAATAAAATCGTCTGGCGTTAGCCAAATAAATATATCAAAAGACTCTATTAAACATTTAGTCAGTCTGGCACTTGGCTGGGTAAATGTAGCCATCATGTAAACACCGACTGTGTGTGTGTGTGTGTGTGCGTGTGCGTGTGTGTGTGTGTGTGTGCCGCTCACTAGTTACTTCACTCCCTCATCTGTGTATACTTGTACGGCTTCCTTTGACATCTTTGTTCTAGATCATAAAAAGGACGCACGATAATAGTTATTGTCTTATGTAGTATTTACATTGTCCAGGAATGTCTAGTTATGATTGTTGTAAAAGTTCGATGGGAAGCGTGAGGGTAAGGCAATACAGTATGTTTCTGAAGTATGTTATCATCATACTTCAGAAACTTACCCTTGGTTCTCAACGGAGACGTTACACACCTGTTTCCACCCACACATTTCTCTGTAGGAAATATTCAGGATTAAAACGATACAGGTAAAATTACTACATTTAAGTTATAATGATATATGAATGTTAAAATTCAACAGCGCCGTTTCCAATATATAACAGCATCCTGGCACTTAAAGAGCGTGATTTGTAATTATTCTATTACCTATAACCCACACATGTCTCAAAGTACTGATGGATATCGATATATATTTTTCACTTATTGAAAATAATAAAAATTTAGCTCGTTGGGCAGTCCATTTACTAGTCAGAACGAACCCGCCCTGAAACCTAGATTATTTTTACTTTTACCACTGCAGGACTGTGGTGCCCGGTAAGCCCTAGTGAAGTATGCCGTGTCCCCGTGACCCCTCCTACCCACCCTGTCTCACCTCTCTTAATAAACAAAATTATTTTAAAAGATCCCTCGTCTCTGCTTCCTCTCTGTCGATCTGCCCTCTCTCAACATTCTCGCCTCTTCCTCTTTTCTTGGAGTTTCCTCGTATATCCCACCCATCTTTGAACATCTTCCTCTTTCTCAATTCTTTTCGAATATTTCTTTCTCTTTCTGAACTCCGTTAAGTGCCCCTGCACTGTACTTTTTATATTCTTCGCCACTGATCGGCTCGTTAGCCGCTACCATTATACGCGAGAGAATAACACCACTCATATAACCGAAAAGATGTGGACTATCCTGCCAGTTCACCTAAGGACCTGGTGGGACCCCTCAATCACTAAAGATAAGGAACATTCCTTCAGTTACACAAGGACCTGAAGGGACCCCCAAGAAACAAACAACACGAAAGACCAACACCACATGCATAACCTTAAAGATGGGGATTATCCTGCCAGTTACACAAGGACCTGGTGGGACCCTCCAACAAACTCTAAAACAGCAAATTCCCTTGGATCGCACTTTAACCCAGCTTAGCTTAGTTTATCTAACCTCCTTAGCCCCTGGAGGACTGAGGGACGTCTATCACTGGTTAAGCCACAAACAAGCCTCCGCAAGGTGGAAAGCCCACCTGCTATAATTCTTCTTCTGTACTTCCCACTTCTTAACTATACCTTGCCATAAATTTCCTTGTTCACCTCAGACAGAGCACGGCTCTCTCATCTCGGTGTTCTGACTGACTGACGTCTGTTACGCACTGTTGGCAAGTACTGGGCATAAACTGACTCCTGAATATATCGGAACCTGCTCCAGTGTTGGTCAAGTCTGGCCTTGAATGAGCTCACACTCGGTGCGGTCACAACACTCTCTGGCAGATTGTTCAAAGAGTTCACAATTCTCACTCCAAAGAAGTTTGCCAACACAAACACAACAATCGTTTCGCTCATTCGGATGTCTCCTTTCCTTTATCTCTTTGCCACTTGATAGCATCAGCCGGTTAAGCAGTCAATTTGTTCTCTGTTACACGATATTGGTAAGTATTGGGCATGTACTGTACGAGTTCTTAAATTTACCTGAACATGTGCCAGTGTTGGCCAGGTCTCAGCGTCTAAACAATTCACCCTAGCATGCATTAAAGAAGCCCAATTATTGTAGTCATTGATGAAACAGGTGACGGAGAGTGGATGCTAACGAGGGACTCACCATAGTAGAAGGGCGAGTAGCAGCAGCGACAGGAGCACCAGCAGAGGTCGAGTGACGTCCGGCGCAGGGAGTGGCTCACACACGACTAACTTCTCCTGTCACAAACTCACCCAACCAGCCTGCCAGCCCCTTCACCCCCCAGCCTGTTCTGCTTCCTGCCCATCCTCCCCTCCTTCCCCCCGGCACGCGCACTGCCAAGAGAACCATTCCCCCACCCCCACGGTAGGCGCTGTCTGCTGGCGTCTGCATCTTCATGACCAAACTCTCGATACAACACTTAAAAAAAACCTCTGCATTCACTATCAGTTTTAACTTAATCATTATCAAATAAGTCCTGACACCTGCCATCTTACGAACGACTTTTGACACATACTATCATTGAGGTTAATCATGGCACATACTATCATAAAGATTGATTACTAACGCCTATTACAACTGGGGCTTATTAAAACTGGGGGACTTATTACTGGGGACTAATACTACAGGGGGCCTGTTATTACTGGGGGACTATTACAACTGGGGACTAATACTACTAGGGGCCTGTTATTATTGAGGCCTATTACAACAGGGGCCTGTCATTACTGGAGCCTATTACAGCTGGGGACTAATAGAACTGGGGGCCTGTTATTACTGGGGCCTAATAGAACTGGGGGCCTGTTATTACTAGGGACTAATACTACCGGGGGCCTGTTATTACTGGGGCCTAATAGAACTGGGGGCCTGTTATTACTTGGGACTAATACTACCGGGGGCCTGTTATTACTGGGGCCTAATAGAACTGGGGGCCTGTTATTACTGGGGCCTAATAGAACTGGGGGCCTGTTATTACTAGGGACTAATACTACCGGGGGCCTGTTATTACTGGGGCCTATTACAGCTGGGGACTAATAGAACTGGGGGCCTATTACTGGGGCCTATTAAAACTGAGGGGCTGTTATTACCGGGACCTATTACAACTGGGGCCTATTTGACTTACATCTAGTTTAGACACGTCAAGAACTAGGGGGTGGGAGGTGTACATTCTAGATTGCTTCCTGTCATCGGTTAGCCAGACTGTGTGGCTCCATCTCCGGAAAATAGCCACCAAACTCTCAGCCTCTTTCCTCTCGTCTGTTTACTTGTTTCCTCCTCCTCCTTTTCTACTCCCTTCTCCATTTTCTGTCTTCCTCCTCCATCATATTTCTTTCTTCGCTTTTCTTCCTCCTTCGCTTTCATTTTCTTGTCTCTTACTCCTCCTCCTTCTTCGCTCTATCCTCCTCTCCCACCCTTCCTCTTCCTACCACCAATTTATGCGTGTATTCATCACACATATTCCATACCCTCTCATTTTCTTTCTCTCTGCCTTATATACTTACTCCCTTCTACCCCCACACGTCTTTTATTGCCATTCTCTTTATGCATTTACATTCCATTCCACTCTCGTTCAACCTGTTTCCCTTTCTCTGTGCCCTATTTACCTCAGTTGCCTTCTCCTGTTTTACACTCTCAATCTTCTTTTCCTTCTCATTTATCCCTCTTTCTTTTCTCCTCCTCTCTTATTCCACCCATCTTTTTCTTGTTTTATAGCATTAGTGTCCTCTCCTTCCTCCTCTACCCCTTCTTTCTTTCCTATCCCCTCTCTCTCCCCCCTCCCCTTCCTTCCTTATCCATTCTCTCCTCCCCATCCTTTCCCCTTCCCTTCTCCCCATTCTCTCCCCCTCTCCTTCCCTTCTCCCCCTCTCCCTTCTTCCCCATTTTCTCCCTCTCCCTCCATCCACCTTATCCAGCTTCGAGTAGCACAAATTCACTCACTCTCAAGGAGGCAGCCACAGAACACGCCTCACCTTGGACGATGTTTATCTTCCTCATCCACAGATAACAGTAAAAGTACAGATACACATACAGGTACAGGTACACGTACAGGTATGCATACAAGAACACATACTTACTGCAGCTCCCTTTCAAGGGCATTAGCATTATAACAGGGAGGGGGCCGACAGCTCTTTCCTAGAGACAGAACTCAGAAGACAGAAGCAATGCTCGTCTCTAGTCGAGGGCCTCAAACAGATTTTGGAACCTACTTGAGGAAAAATATCAAAATGTCAGAGTGCGCCATAAACTTTACAGCGTGTTTTGGATCTACCTACCTTTGTGAATCAACATTCTCACACATGGAAATCGTGAAATCAAAATACCGATCCACGCCGTCAGATGATCACCTGGATGTGTGCTTGAGGCTAGCAACCAGCAACTACAACTCAGACTACACACGGCTTGCTGTCGCCAATCGCCATGCAGTGCAAATCATCACATCAGTAAAGTAAGTTCTTCCAAAGACTATAAACAGTATTTGTCCCGGCCATGACATGGTGCATCCCAGAGTGCTAAGAGAGTTGTGCAACGAGCATGCTGAGCCCCTGAAGATCCTGTATTGCAAATGCCAGAAGCTATACACTCCTCCATGCAAATGTTTGCGGACGATGCCAAGTTATTTAGGTAAATTAAGAACCAAACATTGCGTAGCGCACACCATCGCACATGCATACATAAAGATCTAGCAATAGAGTCTTCCGCGTTCGTCAATTGTAAAACAAGATGGCATTGTATACCTTCCTCCTCTTTTTTTTTTTTTACTGTATCTGTCGTCTCTTGGGTCTCACAGGCAACGATGAGATATAATATTGTCTATCATGTATACTTTGGACAGGCGTGTCCACACAGGAATAGATAAGAGAGGCTGTGAAGAAGTTGAACCATGGCTCAATGTAAACAAACATATCAGATGTATTTACGAATATCAACATCAATAAAAAAAATTACACTTTAGCCATTTATTAAAACTGCGACACAATATACTGCTAAAATTAAATTTACTAATTCTACGTGGTTCCATATTTATTTTTTATAAGTATCTTCATTGTTGAGTATAGATCCTGACCACAGAAATTTGCGCAAGCCAGTGAGACGGACACGATACGTTTCGTCTGAGCGAGACTTACTTATTTTTTTTTTTTTACTTTGATCCTCATTGCCACTGATCGGCTCGTTAGCCGATACGGTGGTCGGTCACGTCTCTATTACGCACTGTTGGTAAGTACTGTACTGGGCATGTGCTGGCACCTGAATGTGCTAGTCAAGTCTGGTCTTGAACCAACTCACACTTGGTGCCATCACAATACTGCCTGGCAGGTTGTTCCAAGAGTTCACAAATCTCACTCGAAAAAGTTTGCCTTCACAATTTTCTGGACTTGTGGCTTGAAGATCTTCAACTTTGAGCTGTGACCCTTTGTGGGGCGGGCGTCCGCCAGTTCTAGGTATGGACACTCGACTGAGTAGTACCCTTTGAGATGTTTATACACTCAATTAGGTACCCCCTTGCCCGTCTGTAGTATAAGCTAGGCAATTGCAGGCGCTCTAATCTCTCCGGGCAACTGAGGTACTGGTGTGTAAGCTCCAGCCTGGTGGCCCTCCTTTGGACATTTTCAATCAACTGACAGTCCCTAGCATATCTCGAGGACTAGGTGGGGTGACAGTACTCCAGGCAGGGAAGCACCTTCTTATGACCTAATAATTTAGTTGCTTGATTTGCATTCTTCTCACAATGGCCCGATAACTTAAGTTCATTGTCAACATACACACCAAGGTACTTTTCGTATTGTCTCAATTAATGCAGTTTCTTCGTCCCGTTGGGACATATGACAAACAACAACGGGCCCAATACACTGCCCTGTAGTACCCCGCTTGTCACGGGTACACATGACGATTTCGTACAATTAATTACCACACACTGCTTGCGATCATAGACAAAGTCTCCGATCCACGTTAGGACACTTCCCCGAATCCCGTACCCTTCGACTAGAAAATTTTACAATTCGTGGAAAAGGCGACGGAAACCACGAAAGTTGACGGAAAAAGTGCGTGTGACGCCGGCTTAAACCACATCAACCAGGAGTGACCCTCAGTGCAGTTAACTCATACCAGCGTAGAAACGAGTTACCATAAACCCCATAAGTAAATGAAAGTAAGATTATACCAACAGAATACAATACTGTAAGACTTTAACAAGGCGGGGTCAACACTAATTCGAACATTCTTCCAGTATGCTTAAGTATTAACTTTATTATAATAGTTTGTTGGTGTATTCCCATCTCCTATATTTTATAAACAGAAAAGTTCCATTTACCTTTCAAGTCTCTTTTTACTTCTCATGACAGATGGCGTTTCGGATAAAATACATCACACACAATCTTGTTATTAGTTTCCCTTCTCTATAATAACTTAAGGTGTCATCTCATAACAGTGTAGACATGTCACATTCTCATAGCAGTATATGCATGATCAGTAATCCCTCTGTCATGGTTTCTGATGTCTCTTGACAGAAGTATATTTCATCCCCATAATAGTGAATGTAAACCAATTAATCACAAACTCTCTTCCCTGCCGTGCATTCTTATGTTGTCCCATAACAATGGAAGTGTTCCAAGTATGAAATGATTCCTCGGCACACAACAACCATACTGTATCTCTCAGAGGAATTTATCACATTTCCATGAAAACAATAAGTGCCGCATTCTTATGACAAGGAGAACGTGTAAAAGAAAAAAGGACCTCACTACACACATGGCATGCTACATCTAACATTTTTTTTTAAACAGTTGAAGTGTCACATTCCTAAAAGATCAAACGTGTGCATCCTGCTAGTATCACTGATAAGTTTGTCATATTCTCCTGAGAGTGAAAAATAGGTCACATTTCTATTATTATAGAGAGGGGCGTGTCACATCCCGCCACTCACGTTGTCCTACCTTTTATTATGGCCTTCAGCAAATCAGGATTATCCTCCTGTAAGCATAAAGTATGCATTGTTATCTTTGTCAGAGAGAGAGAGAGAGAGAGAGAGAGAGAGAGAGAGAGAGAGAGAGAGAGCCATTTTAACACATTTGCCGAAACTACGAGTGTCCACTGCAAAACAGTGATTTTGCAGCGTTTTTAACTTCATTTCCTCCGAAAAATCGGCGACATGTGTGTTGTTAATAATTATCAAAACTTGTAAATTTTCGTTAAATTGTACTGCATTTCGTGAAGAAAGCATTTAAAATATTATGGGCAGGGGGTGAAATGAGGTGGCCCAAGA